TGGTTTTCCCCACCAGCATTCCTTCATGTGTCTGGCATTTCTGTTTATTTTTGAGGTACCAGGAACCAAATCCAGGGGCCCTCTACCACTGAGCTACATCTCCAGCCCTTTTTAATTTTTATTTTGCAACAAGATGTCACTAAATTGCCCAGGCAGGATTTGAATTTGTGGTCTTCCTGCCTTGGTCTTCCTAGTAGCTGGGATTACAGGATGTGCCACCATGCCCACCCTGTGCCTTGTGTTTGGAGCTTTATAAAGCTCCTCCAGGAATAGTGGACAGAGCCAATGTGAATGTAGGAGGTTCCAAAGCCTCTTTCTCCCTCACTGTCCAGTAGAGTTCTGGTCCTCAGGAGGCAGAAGCCAGAGAAGTCATGGCTAGGGAAAAATATCATAAATAAAAAGATAATAGGGAGCCACGCATGGTAGCACTCAGAGGCTGAGGCAGTAGGATTGCAAATTCCAGCACACCCTTGGCAATTTAGTAACTTAGAAAGACCTTGTCTCAAAGTAAAAAATAAAAAGGGCTGGGGATGTAGTCCTGTTTGAATGCCCTGAGTTTAATCCCAGTACTGCAGAGGGGAAAAAAAAAGTGAGTCAATCCCGTGTGGGCTGCAGGGCAGGCAAGTGGTTAATGGTCCACAACCTGAGCTGGGGCCTGGAAAACAGCCAACTGCTTGCTAAAGCACTAGCTTTGAGGCCCACATTCCATTACCCCTGTGCCTGGAACTCGGCAGTCTATGATTTGGCGGAGCCCTCCTTTTTCTGGGTCTTTTTCATTGGGAAATTGGGCTGACTCCACCCATAGCATCCCCTCAGGGCTGATAAGAGCACCCTTTGAGACAGCCCAGAGCGACACCCCTCTTGAGTGCCCTTGCTCTTCAGGAGCTGGTCCCGATGGTCCCAGAGGCCAAGAACAGGAGGCCATGCGTGTGGGCCACTTCAGGATGGTGGATAGACACAAGCATCCACACCGGGGCAGCTGGTGGTGAAGATCCCCAGAATGTGCTGCTGCTGGCCCTCACTCCTGAAGCGCAGGGACTGGCAGGCAGGCTCAAGGGGGCAGAGACACGGGAGCTGTGGCCTTCTCTGACTGGCCCTGCAGCAACAACCTGGACTCTGAGGTGCCTGAGACTTTGCTACACCTAGGGAAGGTCCAGAGAGCCTCTGGCCAGAGGCAGGTGATTGGTGTCACCTCTCTGGGGCCACTGCACCTGGGTGCCTGACAGGTAGCATCACCTGACAGGGGGCTTATGCACTGCTAGGGGCTCCAGTCAGACTGTGGCCCCTAAAGGCAGAGGCCCTCTGGGAACAGCCTCTGTGCCCAGCTGGGGAGGCTGAAGGTGGACCCACCCAGCATGGGAGCTGTGCCCAGGCCCAGGCCCAGGTCCAGATGAGGCCCTGGCCTTGACCTCAATTTGTGTTAGTTCCAGCTGTCTCAAGACTTCCATCCACTGTCAGTTCCCCAGAGACCTTGCTAATGAGACTCTAGTAACACTGAACACCCTTTTTCTCATCACCCACTCTGGGGGCCAAGCTCCCCCAACTCCTCTCTTGGTCTCTGGTGCTTTATTTACTCATTCACTTCATTCAACAAACATTCCTTGAGTACCTACCGCATGCCACAGACTGTTGCAGATGCCAGGAACCATTCCAGGTATACAAGGAAGAGAGAAGATAGACAAAGTTTGTCCAAGTGTGAAAAGCAGTGATTCTAGCTGGATGTGGTGGCACATGCCTGTAATCTCAGCACTTGGGAAGCTGAGACAGGAGGACTGCTGTAAGTTTGAGGCCAGTCTGGGTTGCATGAGCAAGTTCAAGGACAGCCTGGGCTACACAGAGAGACCCTGTCTCAAAACAAAAAACCACAATAACAACAACAACAGCAGCGACAACAACAACAACAAAAAAAAAACAGCAGAGATTTGGGAGCCAAGCATCTATGTTCAAATCCTGGCTCTACTGCCTGCCAGCTGTGTGACCACAGCCTGGGATACAGTGTCTCTGAGCCTCCACTGTAAAGTGGGCTTAAGAAGAGTATCTCTCCACAGGGTCACGGTAAGGATTCAATGCTGTAACATGGTATTAGGAGCACCTGGTCCTAGCTTAGTAGTAAATGTACTGTATGATGGCAATTATCAGTCTACTAGAAGGTGCAGAAAATGAACTGCAAACAATGACCCAGAATAAGTGCAGATTATAGCTAGTGCTTTGAAGGAAATAGGCAGCATGCTATGGGAGATCTCAGCGAGGGTGGTGGGGCTTCTCCAGGTGGGGGAGTCAGAAAGGTCTCTCTGAAGAAGTGGCTTCTTCAGCGTGATGCTTAGAAGCCAGAAGAGTGGCTTCTTAGAGTCCCTCAGCTCAAGCAGAGGGACCAGTGAGCACGAGTCTCTGAGGTGGAAAAAGGCTTGGCAGGTGTCAGGAACACCAGAAGGCACAGGAGGTGGGAGCTGGGTGGGTGAGGCAGACGGGACGTGACAGCCCAGAGAGGCCAGCAGGGCCAGAGCACAGATCTCACAGAGCCTGTGGGCACAGAAAGAGCTTGGCTTCTATTTCCAGTGTAGCCTGAAGCCACACAAGGTGTTCTCGTAAGTTGTACAGAAGCCTATTCCACATGCAGGAAAGCGCACAAATCGCAATGTGCCATACCATGAATTTTCACAACGTGGACCTACCTGGGAAACCAAGCCACGATAGGAGCAGTGCCCCGGAATCCCCATCTTAGTCCACTTTCTATTGGAGGCTGAGTATCATAAAGAAAAGATGTTACAAGGCATGATGGCACATAGCTATAGTCCCAGCTCCTCGGGAAATGGACACAGGGGGATTACAAATTCAAGACCAGCCTGGGCAACTTAGCATGATCCTAAATCAAAATGAACTTTTTTGGAAAAGGGCTGGGGCTGTACCTCAGTAGAAGAGTACTTGTCTAATATGTATGAGGCCCTGGTTTCAATTTCTAGTACCTTATCTTTTTTTTTTTTTCCAAGACATATCTTTAGCTGACTGTTTTAGAAGTTGAAAGATCAAAATTGGGTGGCCTCATTGATTTGGCCTCTGGTGAGGGCACCCTTGTTTGTGTCACATGGCAAATGGCATCACAGTGGGAGACAGGGAGATCAAATGGTGAGAGAGGAAGCCAGAGAGACCAGGGAGGGCCAAGTCTTGTTCCTTTATGAGCTCTGTGCTTTTTAGTGGGGGAGGGATTACAAGCGTGTACCAACCACCATGTCTGGCTCCCAGCCCTTTTTTTTTTTTTTTTTTTTTTTTTTTTT